CTAGTAGTAAGGCCAGGAGCCCCTAGTAGCGTCCTTGCTCCTAGTAGCAAGGCCAGGAGCCCCATAGTAGCTTCTTGTTACTAGTAGCGCCACTGCCCATGACAGATTTGCCCCAAGGTTGCTTACTCTACTTCCGGGTGCTAACGGCGATGGCAGATGCACAGGGAATCCTCGAAGAAGAGGACACCAAATTTTAAGGCTCGAAACATATCGTGACACACATATCATAAAGTGTTCATGAAGAAAGGCCTCGAGGAGAGATAGCTTACTGACTGCAACAAGCACAGATTGTCTTTTTAAGCAGGCAGCTGTATAGCCATCCCATATGTTGGCTGCAGGGTCTGTTTTATTGCATATTTGAGCGATCATGTTTTGTGATGGAGGGTCAACTTGTTCAGGACACGGTGTTCCTCCCACGGCGCTCTTTGCTCATGATTTCTGGCGGAAGTCCTAAGTCCATGAGACCAGCTCAAGCGCAAATTTATATAAACAAGGTTTAGGTTGCCAGGCCTTTTGGTTGGGGTGCGCAGAGAAGCCTTTGTTGTCCGGTATAAACAGCAAAGACTAGTTGAAACACGGGAAACAGATGCAGTATCCTCAACTTGGGTCTCTCAAATTGCAAGACTCACCCACACACACACACACTCGCACACACGCACACTCGGGATAATGCGTACGGAATTGAATGCAGTTTGCCACCCGCCAACCCAAGTAAAAGCCTAAGAAACCAGGAGGATGTACAAGTAAGTAAGGCGGTCTGATGACAAGCGAGTCTCAAATCCTCAAAAAAGTTCAAGGCATCCAACGATTTCCAATTTCGAGTAGTCGAGAGGCTCGGTCGACGAAAGCGTGACTGGAGAACTCATCAGCACTTTACTGCAAACCGAAGCCAAGAGAAGGTTTTGTTCCAGTTACTAGTTACAAGCAAGGTCTCACAGGGAATGGAAGTCAAAACTGATGCGGGTACGCCGGAGTGATCAATTCCGGTATCCACCATCACGCATATCTTCGTTGGCATGCGTTTGCGTGATGGCCGCATTGCCCCTGCATATAACAATACTCAAAGACCAAAGGCCTGCTCCGGATCCAAGGGTTTCACTCACACACACACAGGTGGTCGCAGGATGACATATCCACAAAGGACCAAAATTGAAAAGGACAGTCACACTTTTGAGGAACCTGACAGCCACTGCAATGGGTTTCGCATCAAGAGCCGCTCGGAAGGACTTGATTCAGATCGTGTTTCTCCACAGCCGCTTGCAGTCTTTGCTCTATGAGGTGCCAGTTCTCTTTTTTGTTTAATTCCATTGAACTCTCAGCGATTTGTAGCTTTACTTAGACAGCATGAGCCTCTTGATTCAATAGAATCGAATGGTTCATGCTACTGCAAACCCACTGCCACAATTCCACCCCAGTCCAACTCAAATGTGCTCCACGTGATTCCACGTGTCTCACAGCGCTCCTTCGGGATGATTTTTCCATTCAAAACGCTCTAGGAGACGTGACTTGGACAGCAGCCGAGAATTTGTTGTGGACGAACTCTGCAGGAAGAGATGGAAGTGGTGGACCAATACGTCGGGAGCTGAGCCGCACAGTTGAGTTTTTGGGAGTTGACTCTTAGAAAGATGCTTTGGGACGAAACAGGGATGGGTAGAACACAATAATGCGAACATCGTTTTGGCCGCTAACTACTTTCCTTTTTCCTGTCTCTCTCTATTTTTCTGGAGTACCTGCCGCCGCATGTCAGTCTGTTAGGCATCGGTATTTTTGTTGAGCGTGACACTTTCACAGACCAATGGGCAGGGATCAGATGTTCAGCTGTGTGTGGTCACTCCAATTATTTTGTTTTTAACATGTTCAGGGAAGTTTGTCGAGAAAGGTGACAAACGAGTTCATATGTCTTCGAAAGTCGCACCGCCGGTGCTGCATTACTGCGTGCTAGCAGCCCACCCGAATCCACATGCCTTCCAGAATCCTTGAGACCTTCCACAGGGTCGCTAGTTTTTACTTCTGATGTAATCCTTTGTGTGCATTTCTAAGAATTCAACCTTTTAAACCTCAATTTTATGTTGTCTCTACAAGTTGACCGGCGGGACCGTGCTGATCGAATCGTTCGTGGCAGTTGTGCATCACCCGTGAGACGGACAAGGGCCGGCTGCTGAGAGGGAAACAAAGGTTTGTACAAAGGTTGTCGTGTGTCCCCAGGATTCTTTGATATTTTTGGTCTCCCGGGATTCTGTATCCCAGAAAAACACGGAGCAACAGAAAAAGGACATAGACAAGGTAAACTGACCTAACCACATACAATAACCATGTCGATGAGGCTTTGGCTCTTGTCCCCATGTGTCTTCTCCACGTATCCCTCCTTCTCTGTGCCTGTCCCAAAACAGGGTCACGCGGGACCTGGTTCCACCAGCTGCGGGGGTGTCACACAGCTTGGAGCAGCGAACAGTGCAGTGCTTCACCCCGTAGTTGGAAAGAAGGTAGTTGGAGTATGACATGTAAATGCATATGTATGAATATGCAATACTTCTGTACATGATATTGACAACATGGGACAATGACACGAGGACACCCCCTCACCATTTTGTAGTTTTGCCTGTCTCGCAAGAGAATCGAAGACTGGCCCCATGTGGGGCCTAGTTGCTGAAATCGTTCAGGTGAAGCCGAGTACCGGGCTGAGGCGGCTCGGCTGTGGACTCTGCGGGGACGGAGGGTTTTCTCCTCCCCATCCCAAGATGCCTGATTCCGCTGATGCATGAAGCTGGGTGGGCTATGGCTTGATGAACTAGATTAATATAGCCGGCTTGCAGTTTTTGCAGTGGAGTTTGTAGCGCTTCTTTGGATCTCTTACTTAGCTGTAGATTCTTTGCAATCACAATTCAAACATAGGATCTGAGGTGAAGAGAATTGTGGCGAGTTTAGATCCAGCCAGGTGGGACGTTTCCGTATCGCACGACAGAAAGCCGGGTTGCTGTCCGGGAGCCCAGCAAGATGGCATGCAGTCCATTTTGGGCGAATGACACCTCAAAGACAGGCATATTGACAAAAACATATATATATATATACATATACACATATGCAATCAAACATATATCCACTTTTGTGTTTTTTTGTGGATCGGAGGGAAGTTTCCCTTTGCAATGTGTATATATATATATATATTGTGGCATGCTTTTGCATTCTGCTCAAGAGCAAGCATAGACATAGACATGCTTGTGCATTGGTTGGGGGGTCTCGTCAGTCTCACAACGGTCCACGGCCCTCAGATCGTTCCTCCGTTCGAGGATTCGGCCCCGACACGCCGGGGACAACTCGGAGGAGGCCAAATGGTCTCACTGAAGGGACTTTGGAGTAGACCGTTTTCAACTTTTAGCAGAGACTGAAGGGACTTTGGAGTGCTTGACTTCAGAAAGATTGTTTTACAGAACCAACCAGCAGCACTTTAGGACAACTGGCAATCATGTACGTTTTGAGGATTCACAGAAAGTGTCATCAAGATTTGTGTAGCCGTTTAAAAGCTTTGAATCGACCAGCAAAGCGTTTGGTCTTGAGCTTGAAGAATGACACGTCTCCACGCCAAAGCTGAAATGCAACCTTTTGAACGTTCCGAAAATGGTGACTATTGGACAAGGCTGCCCCAAGGCACCTTTGGGGGTGTGCCACTAGTTTGTTGTAGAAACCCAGAAAAAAGCAGCACGCCGCCTGGCACTGGTGTCTGCCTGCAGAGACCTTTAGCCATGATGTGTCACACATGTTTGACTTCGACTTTGCAGAGTTGGAGGAAGAGGACAGTCCCAGAGAGAAGTTCTTCCCTGGTCACTCTACTTGATTTGTCGACGAAGAATCCCCGGAAAGTGGAAATCGGCTACCGTACCAGAGTCCAAAGACAAAGTTCATGGAATTTTGTCTATATAAAGGATGCGCAGTAACATCCAGTTCCATTCTTTCAGCAGCTCCAGCCGAACCATCATGACCCACAAATGGTTGGTCAAGTGAATCAAGTGAACCACCCCTCAAAAAACGAAATGTTGTGGATGTCAAACAACAGACAATGCCCGTTTTCCGCCGACTCGCTTGAAGCCGAGGCGAAGTGCTCCGGGCCTGCAGCCCTGTGATGATGCGGGAGGAAGCGACGCTTGGCCATTGTGGCACCTTAAGAGTATGTTTATAGTCATAGAATCGTTCTAAGTAGTGGAGGAGAGAATCTAGTGTAACAAGTTTGTGTTTTTTTTGTTTTTGTTTCAGTAGGGCTCAATGGGGTTCACTTCGAGAGTGGAAAGACACAAGGTGTTTTGTAGAGAGGCCGGGGAGCTCAATCATGTCATTTTGGGCTTGTTGATCACTTGCTTCCCGGTATATGTAGATGCCACAACTAGTCCAAGTGGCAAAGAGATAGACGTATTTCGCAGGTAGTTGGAGGTATTGCTTATTTATGTAGGCGTGGCACCATATTTGGTGCGATGGTGCAGATAGGTTCACGTAAGACAGCTTGTGATTTCTCGCATGTGAGGAGCGCACCTTCTTTCACTCCACCATTCTTTTTCGGAGCGCACCAAGGAGTCTGGAGAGCAAGGTGATATCGACGTCTCTTTGGCTGCAGCTGTGCACAGGTCGAGAAGTGTGATCCACACGGGTACAGTAATACCTTAAGCATTTCAATAGCGCAGAGCAGAGCTTTCCACACAAAGTACTTTTAAACTTTTACCAAACAGTGTCCATACTTTGAGAGAGTCTGTCTTTAGGGTCTCTGCAAGAATATGGAGGGGGCTGTATTCGATACTTTTGGAACGGCCCCTGGTATCCGGGATCAGACACTGCTTACCTGAAGGGTTCACCTATAGCTCAAAATATGCAACATTTGTTTGCAAGACCGACCCTATCGCAAGACCCACAATGCCAGTCACCAGGAGAAAACTGCGAATGCACCTGAACAGTCACTAGAGTGCTCACGTATGCTTGCGGTCCCGGAATATCCTTACGTGAAGTGGAATGGCAGTAGGCACATGGCTTTTTCATCATGAATGGTTGAGCCGTGAGATGATATGAATGTATGGGCATCAAGCCCCTTGCAGCGAGCTTGCTTTTACTTGACACGGAAGCTTTCTTTTTCGTTAGTCACGGGTGGATGTTGGTTTGGTCCTCCAACCTGTTTCATTCTGAGCCTGATTCGACCATCTTGAGCGTGATTCGGCCGTCCTTTGTCAACTTGCAAATTCTGTTGGAAGAACAGCTTCACAAGATCCAAACCATCCTAGGTACATCAAAATTTGACGAAGCCTGAATTGTGTAGACCGCCCATTGTACTGGTTTGCATTGATAATTATTTCAACCTACTGTTCCATAGCAATCCTTTTTGGCCAGTACAGCAATGAATCAATTCCGTGTGCATTTGAATCCTCTTGCAGGCTAGCTGCAGGCACCCTGGTGGAGGTGCTCTTGAGCTGCGGGTCTCGGCGGCTGCTGGTGAGTGGCGACGGCAAGGAGGGCTGGGTGAGCGCTGAGGCGTTGGTGGCTCGGCGGAGTGTCGCAGACGAAGGAGTGCTTTTTGGGCTCCTACCCGTTCTTTTACTTGCTGCCAACGGGGACTGGTAGGATGGGCTGGAGTTTACAGCGGTTTAGGAAGGATACTGTTTATGGCAAGACATCTCTCCTACGCCCGGCTTTGTTGAATCAACAGGGGAGCTTTCATCACCTTTTCGATCGGCCATGAAGAGAGGCCCCTTCATGGATACACCAAGACAAAGTTGCTCAGTAGCCAAGCAAAGTAACGGGTTTCCAATCGCCTGTGTACCGTTTTTGGAGGCTACAGAACCTCCTTGAATCTGGCCTTTGATCAAAGAGGGCAGGCCTGATTCTTTTGCGATTTCACCTGTTAGCGTTCACATAGCAAGCATGCAACCTGGGTGATTCACGAGCCTTTTCTATTTATCCATGTCAAGTTTAGCCATTCAGCATCATTTCAACTCCAATGAGCAGGCATTGAATATGTCAAGATACCATCATGAGATGTGGAATGGCCGCTTGCACATTGAGGATGGCACCATTCTATGGGAAAGAGCTGGCAAAGTACAAGATGGAAACATCACCCCAGATGTAGACATCAGGCAACGCTGACTGGTGCATCCGACTGACTTTGGACTTGTTGACATGAGTTGTTTTCGTTGGTCGATGTGATTTTGTGAGAAATATGTCTGACTAATCTCCTCCGCTTGGCTGGGTTTCACCAAGTTGGGAAGACAGTTCCACCTCCGGCAATGCTGTTCAATCTCCCTGATTTGTCATTGTCCTGCGCACATTGCACTCCAAAGTCAAAGCGGACCATCTTAAATGCCACCCAAACACCCGCGCAGAGCGAAAGGTGATTCCGGACATATTCGAACTCTGGGTGCTTGGACTTGCCAACCGAAACCGCTGTTGGCAGGCTGTTCAGACTCAGGGACTCTGCACAAGGGAAAAGACTTTGGTTCGAGTTCCGGAGACCTCCGGGGTTTCCGTTGCGTCCGCTCAGTTTTTCAGCTAACCCTGGGCTTCCGTTCTGGTGTTCATGGCGCGTTTGTTTGCAAGATGGAAGCCACTCGAATTGGAGCCTGAAGGTAATAGAATCTAAGACTTGATGGACTACTTCCAACGTGACCTTGCCTGCATGTGCTTCTTCTTTCGGCTATATGAGATTTCCTTCTTTCTTTCTTTCCTTCCTTTCTTTCTGTCTGTCTGTCTGTCTGTCTGTGGTGTGGTATTTTCATCTCAAGAGACTCGGATTGCTTTAAACTTGGATCCAAGCCCATTTTGGTGCCCAGGCGCTTCCGTGAAGCAGACCGGCCTTGGCTGAGGCCGATGGATTCGCCCCACCAGACCGCCTTTGTGTTTGTGCTTGTAAAGCTGCTTGAGGAACTTTCCACCCGAACTTACGTGATCCATTTCCACCCAAAGAAGATGTTCTTGCAACTTTTTGGAAGTGGATATTTTGTGACCATCTCTCATTCGCCACACAAAGCGCACTTCACAAGATGTATTTATTTTTGATTGACAGCGCACCTGGACAGGATTATCGAGAAGCAAGCCTTCGGTGGTACAGAGCAGTGCTTGGCTCCTTCGTTGTGTTTGCGGGTTTCGGAGGCAACCCAAGCGTGGACTCTTGGGACCTGAACAGGCCACTGTTTATCAAGAGCCATCACCGCTCCTTGAAGACGATCTCAAAAGATTCCCAAGAAGCGGATGAAGAGATGGGGATCGGGCGCCAGCTACCAGGGTGGGTCTCCTTCCCTTAAAAAACGAGAGCTGAGGTTCTGCGGGGGTCGGTGGTTGGTGGGTGTACAAAAGTCTGAGGCTGTTGCCCTGGAAGTTTGGTCAGAAGGAGTTTGTCTGACACTCTGAACAGATCCGAAATGGCACCAAAGGGCACACAGACAGTGCATGCCATGAACACGGGTATTGTACCCCACTGCCTGAGACCTATGTGCTCCAGACTGCATGGAACTGGGTGACTGGGCACTTTTGGAAAGGCATAGCGAATTGGGGCAAACCTGGAACCAGACCAGGTTCTTTGAGGTTTGAACTTTTCGTGTGTTTGGGTCGGCCTTTAGCAGCCTTCCCAGTCCCACAGATTCACTTTTTCTTGAAGGCCTTTCCACAGCGTGTCCACCAAAGCTCCCAGTTATCTGATTGTTTGACTGTGAGTCTTTTGGGAGAAGTTACCTTTGACACGATGTGGTCAAACCGTCTTAAACAGCCAGAAAACTGCATATTGATCAGCACATAAATTAAAGGTACAAATCAAATGCACGTGCATGCGATATCTTCTCAACCAGCAGCTGGACAGCAAATGACTTGTAGCTTAGTTTCTGAAAGGAATGTATCTTTCTGTGTTTGTTCAGGGAATCGGACGGCCCGAATGGCATAGAGCTTTGATTCAAGTCTTTTTCGCTTCTCTCAGGAGCTTTGGCTGCGCGACAGCTGCACACCGGGTAGCCGCACTGTGGTAGAGGTGGCTATTGGGCGTTTCCCGGCTGTTGATGGTCGCGATGGGCTCTGCTTTCGTACATCTCTGAGCATCGTAATTAAAGGAGGTCCGAGAGGAAGGCCCCCAAGTAGTTAAAGGTAGATGCCACAAGAATGTGAAACCGTGCTTTCTCTTCTTCTTTTGCAGAGATTCCTCCTTCCGAGGGCAGGGTTCTGGGGGTCACCTTGATGAGTCCAGGGCAATCTGCTGAGGGTGGCGATCCACACTTCAACGGAGTTTGTCATGTGTGAGTTGCCCGTCGGATTGGATTCGATGCATCAACAATGACTCGCTACCTGCCCTGTGGAGCACACCTTCGGCAATCGCCAGAGAAAAGGATCGTAGAAACGGACTGCTTGATTTGACTACACGAAGCTCTAAACAAACAAGTCAGCACGAAACATGCCACAAAAAGAGTAAGCTGCTCATGCACACTCGGCACAGCTTAGGATCCTCTGGCCGTGTGCTGGGCTACTGCGCCTGGCGCCTGGAAGGGCCTTTGCAGTGCCTGGGCTTTCGACAGTTCCTGGGTCCCCGGGACCCACACCGTTTCGGCGAACGGTTTCGTTCGTTTGGCCTTCTGGGGACCTGCGGGAGGGACCGGCCGAGTAGCGGCCGACGCTCCAGGCTCTACCTCTGGTCTGATAGCGAATGTTTGTTGCTTTGTACATATTCCGACTGAAGGCAATGGGTATCATTTGATGGCTTCTTGTGCTCTTTATCGGAAAACGTTACGGAAGTGAAACCGGCGATAGGGGATGTATCCCTGAACACTTGGACAACAATAGGGAGCAGCCTGATCTGCGAATGTGTACCTTCCACTTCAGCCAAAAAAGAACTCCATGTACCACAGCTGCCAAAAATATATGTGTCTCCTTAAAAATACGTCTCCTTTGAGATATGTCTCCACTCGCCAGTTCCCCGATGCTGCATTTGCTGGGCCTCGCCGTGGAGTTCTCGCAGCGGCGCCGTGGCTTGGGCGCTGCGCTGGCGCGAGCTGCGCTGGAGCAGGGAGAGCAAATGGCCTGTGGGGCGGCGGTGCTGCACGTGCGGGCCGGGAGCTTAGTTGGAAGAGCTGACACGAGTGCTGATCCAGGAGCTGAGGTTTCGTTGTGAAGTAGTGAGCGATATTTTGGGATAGAAGCCTGAACCTAACTGTTGTGAATGTCCATCCTAGCAGAGAGCATGCCGCGCATGCCTTTAGGCTACTCAGAAAACTCAGTACATAGTCACTACGCCACTGCTGTCAGGATTCAGAGCAAAGACTTGCTTGAATTTGATCCAAAAAAGAAGTCCGCTGGCTTGTTTGATCCATACTGAGCTTGTACCGCAGATCGAGAATCAGCCTGCACAACGGCTCTACCGCCGCCTGGGTGTTCCTGGCATTTTTGCTGAGAATAATCAGAGCTCTGTGACTCATTCAGTAGCTGACAGAGTCGGCAGGCTTGATGTTCCCAGAGCCTGCTGTGAGGCTTCCTGCGGGTGGCCAAGGTGCTCGACTACTATGGACACGGGCGGGATGCCTGGGAGCTATTGAGGACGGGGCGAAAACACGGTCTCATCGGCGAGCCATTTCATAAGGATAAAATCACACTTAGGACAGACGATTTTGCAATTGACTACCAAGTCGGATGCTGTGATAGTCTCGTTTGACGCAGCCTGGGTAGCTTACACCAACGCTAGGATGTATTTGGGATGGGGCATCGTTTTGTTCGAGGTGGGCCCTCGCAAGAGCATCAAGAGATCTCGGTGCCACACATCCCAGGGAATTGCCTGCCATGGTGCAGCGCCCCGTGGATGCCCAGCAGGCGATGGGGACGGGTTTTCGCGCCCCGTGTAGGCTCTGACATCAAAAAAACGGAGCTCAGTCTGCGTGATTTATATAGATGACGGTCTACGTTCATCCACGTTAGTACAAGAAAGTGGTGTTGACTTTCTCTGGCACTCATGTATAGCGTAGACGCGGTGTTTCTTGGATCAGCAAGACCCTAAGCAGGAGCTGGTGTCTCGAGGCCCATTTCGAGCGAGCCTTTCGTGTCTGAAAGATCCACCACCAATCCAGTTTGAAGCTTGTGATCAGAGAAGCATGACATACATCTTTTTTGTGCCAAAGGTGATGAAACTGCGGGCTGAAGGCGGAGTCTGACTGCAACCAGGGAGAAATAGGGTAGCTTGAGGCTGAAGTGTATCTGCATTAGGGTGGACCGACAGCCCGATAGATTCTACAAGGCCCGAAGCCTTTTGGACTGATGTGCTGCGGACAAGGCTCTTGGTCAAATGTGGAATGCAGGTCAAGCGTCTTTATGCCCATGCTCCCTGTCTTAGAAAGTCTTTGAGCTTGATAGCACAGATAACCAGTCATTAAACCATTCATTTCCCCCGCATCTACACCGGAGATGGACTTTTGGGTCAATGACATTTCGATGATCGGAGTCCTGCCTGTCAGCGGCGGCACGGCCAGGCTTCCCCCGCCGCGCGGTGGAGCGCGCGTTGCGCTGGGCTCCGGCACTGGAGCTGGCGAGGGAGAGAACTGGGAGAGATGGGAATGAAGCTGCAAATCCGAAGCCAGACTTGGCACAGCTTTTGGATGAAAGGAGGGACAGACTTGTTTCAAGGAGTGAAGGCTGTGAAAAGCATGTGTCATTCAATCAAGGCTGTTGCTGGCGGAACACGGTCTGCGGTTGAGGAAAAAACACAGACAAATCCCGTTCCTCGCCGTCCTGGATCCCGAAATGGGTGAAAGGGACCGAAGGGACCGAAGGGACGGGATGGAGGCCGTTTCCGTGGCCCTCCTTTGCCTTTTCCTTGGGCCCAGCAACGGGAACGAAACCATCCAAAAACCCTTCGCTTCTTGTTCATAGTAGCGATGCCAGGAGCCCCGTGCGTAGCGTCCGATCGCTCCGTTCGTAGCAAATGCCGCTCCGTTCGTCGCGTCCGATCGCTCCGCTTTTGAGCGTCCAAACATCTTCCTACCAGGTCCTACCACCCAGTCGAACCGCTCAAGTGGCCGTGGATCTCTCCCAGGAGCTGGCGGCCGGGCGGCTGGTGGTCGTCTCCGAGAAGGTGTCGACCACTGAAGTGGTTTGGATCGAGTGAGCAATTGGGTCCACTTCAGTGGGAGCAGAGTTGTTTTTTTGGTCCCGGTGCCCGGTGCTGAACAAATGCACACCAAAAGGGCAGATGTTCCTATTCATGGGAAACAATTTCATGTAACAAACATATCCACGTGGTTGATTGGTGCCATGTGAATGAACCATGACTGTTGATGGACAAGTCAAGTTCTCCTGGATTTGACTGAGATGAATGGGAATCCACCATTCTCTTCTTCTACATCTCCCGTTGGTATCAATCTTGTAGGTCAGGCATTTTGAGGTTATTTCTGGTGGCAGGATTCCGCGTTGGGTTCAACCCGCGTGAATGGAAATGGATCGGGTTTGTCCATCAACACGATCATGCCAACGACCCTGCAAGCATTGAGCCTTCTCCACCTGAGATGAATTTCTTCTTCACTTGACATGGATTTGGCCACCCATATCTCATGGAAAGGTAGATTTTTCGTTTCGTTTCACCGACTGAAGAGACGCCTCTCGTCCCTTCCCGTCACGGGCGAGACGTGCTGCGCGACGTCAGGCTCTGCGCGAGACGCGCGACAATGGTGTGCTGCTTGGACCGGTGCAGAAAAAGAGCCGTACTGCCAGGGTAGACCGGACGCCACAGTCCCGCAGCAGCGCGCCGACCGCCAGTCGGGTCCACAAATGGACCAAATCAACGGAATGTTAAATGAAGCCACAAGGGACGACTGAAAGCTTTTCACCTTCCTAGAGAACCACTCTGACTGAAGGGAAGATCCTCCAAGAGTGAAGGTCTTGAGCTCTGAAGCCGGGTAATTATATAGCCCACTGTACTCTCCACGACAGTTTCCACATGAAAATTCTGGAGTTTGAAGACCTATGTCTCAGAAAGGGATTCATTTGGAGTGGCTGCCTACCGCGGAGGGACCAGCATGGTCTTCTCGGTCTTTATGTCCATTCCTCATTGGGCGATGGCTGTCTCGCTGCAGGGGTGCAACTTCGTGCAGCAGACCAGTGACATCGTTCCTTGGCCACTTTGTGTGCTGACTTCTGTCTACCAACGCAGTGGGCCAATTTGAACCATGCCAGATGTACAGAGAAGCTCCTGGAAAAAGAATTCCCTTCATGAGACGCTTTTTCAACTGTTGGGCAGCTTGTAGTAGCAGCCTCAACCTAGGCACCGCCTTTGCCCAAGGCAAGGTCATTCATGGCATGGGCCGGGCAGGGCACGTGCAGATTGAACAAACGAGAGAATCGCTGATCAATACTTAGCCCCTTTGAGAAAGCTCCTCATGTCGTGCTTTTGTGAAGTATGTAATGAGTCGATGAGATCTGTTCTAGTCTTGCAGGTGATTCTGGGTATGCTGATGGAGGTATGCCATCAGCCCCTGGCGCAAAAATGGGGTTATCCTGAGCGAGCTCGAAAGCCCAGATGCGAAAGCCTAGTATCGCAGAGGTGATTGGCAGTCTATTTTTGCTTCTTTTGAGGTTTGGGCTTGCCTCTCTTGGTGAGGTTTGGGGCAGAGTTGGGAGCTGTTTGTTGAGGTTTTGCTGGCCCGTCAGGTTTTGGGTCGGATTCTTCCCACATTCTTATATGACATGTCTGATCTGTTTTGACTGCACAGGAGAGGATCAAAGCCAAGCCATCCTCTTTCTCAATCATTCTACTAACTGCAAAATCTAACACCTCCCATATCCAATGTTTTCTGACATGCCCAGGCACTAGACCAATGAAGGTCACTGGACATTTGTGCAAAAGCAGTATACCTAAATGAAACAAACAAACAGACCAACCAACCAACCGACCAACCCACCCACCCACCCACCCACCGACCCACCCAACCAACCCAACCAACCCAACCAACCCAACCAACCCAACCAACCCAACCAACCCAACCCCCCCAACCACCCATACCATCCCACCCCGCCCAAACGCTATTGATCAATCGATCAATATTTTAATAGAACGTCAGAACTGCCAGGGAATGTCGCTATATCCTTGCCATGGTCTACGATCGCCTGGCTCAGGTGTTGAACCTGATCGCCAGCATCGCTGCAGTGTGGAGCTCGGATTGTTTGTTTGTGCTCCGAAAATGGGCGGAGTTGGTCTTTGTTCAGGCCTGACTCCATATTGTAGCAGTCATAAAGGCATTTATTCCCCCTGCAAGGGAGGTATTCATCACTCGTTTTGGTGTAATCATCCTCTGAACTCCCAGGGGGCCAAGAAAGGGGTGAATCTGTCACTGGTGATCGGGTCGAAGGTGAACTTGTGCCCATGTTTGGATAGAATGACAGAATGACATAGATCATGTATAAATCCATTCATCCGGCAGTCATTTGGTAGTTTACATGAATGATCACACATACACGGCAGAAACGGCGATACAGTTGTTGCTCTTTTTTGCAATCCCTTTTGGATCATGGTTGGAAGTGGGATCATGGTTCTGTGGTCACAACTTGGTAAGGTGGTCTTTGTCTGCTGAGGATGCACTCGATCAACTGACGCATTTGTCTGGCCTCATTATGCGACCGGTGTCCCTGGCCTACTACCAGTGCCTTGGATAAAGGCATCGACGGCATTTTTGGAGGGAACATGGTACCCCCCTCAACCGGCCGGTGAAGCAAACCTGATGAAGCAGCTAATCCGGTAAGTCTACATGGGAGCCGGTCTTGGCCCAACAAGCTCACTCTGGGCCCATAAAGAAAATACGGACATCCACTCTGTTTCAGAAATTAGGGTTCTTGGCCCTTTTACCACCCAATACCATGGTAGCCACTCCATTCAACAGGTTTTGCATGCTCTCTAGTTTACCATCGTTGGGTGTCATCCTTGACCGTTCTGACTCCAATGAGGCATTGCCGAGTCATCGTGGCACCTTGTCACTGAAGCTGGGAATGGGCAGCTAATTCAGCGTCAGGGTGGTGCTTAAAGAGGTCGATCTGTTCGTCTTCTTCAAGCGGGTGAGACTCAGCGTGCAGAATAGGAGGAGAGCGGGGGGTTAGGGGGGGGGAGATGTGAAAGTTTTGATTTTGCAAGGTTTTGAAGGGTTCTACATGGATTTCGCAGAGTAAAGGGCAATTTGATGTGATAACAACAGTATGCAGCAAAGCAACCATGCAAAAACCTCGAAAATCAAAAAAATAAAACAAAACTGCAGACCCCATTGGGGCTCTTGTCTGACTCTGTGGACATGTGGTCTGCAGTTTTGTTTTTTTTTGGATTTTCAAGGTTCTAGCCATCTGGAGCAGACCATGCAAAAACCTCGAAAATAAAAAAAAACAAAAAAAACAAAACTGCAGACCCCATTGGGGCTCTTGTCTGACTCTGTGGACATGTGGTCTGCAGTTTTGTTTTTTTGTTTTTTTTGGATTTTCGAGGTTCTGGCCATCTGGAGCAGACCATGCAAAAACCTCGAAAATCCAAAAAAAACAAAAAAAACAAAACTGCAGACCCCATTGGGGCTCTTGTCTGACTCTGTGGACATGTGGTCTGCAGTTTTTTTTTTTGGATTTTCGAGGTTCTGGCCACATGTGGTCTGCAGTTTTGTTTTTTTTTTGGATTTTCGAGGTTCTGGCCATCTGGAGCAGACCATAGACTTCTATTTTAATTCTAAATTGAACCTAATTAAATTCTAACTTAAGTTTATGTATTTTTAAAGTTCATTATAATCAAATTATATTTCAATTTTATTCTAATCTATTTTGTTGTAATTGTAATTATCTTTGATTATTCTGGATCTAATATTTAATTCTCAATTGAAATTATATGTGACTTTGTAAAATATTTCCAATTTAATTCTAAATTGAATATATTTGCATTCTCTTTGTTGGAATTCAAATTGAACTTGCAATTTTCATTAAATTGAATTTTTGGTAACCTAGTTTTATATCAATATTGTAATATTGTTCTATTAATTGATTCCTAGGTTAAATATCTTTAATTCAATTCTACCTTAGGCCTAGGTCAATTTCAATTTGAATAATGGATTTTGATTTAATATTATTCATTCAATTCCAATTTAATTCCAATTAATTCTATGAATTTTGACTTAAATACAATTTAGCTAAATTCTAAAGCAATATTTTTTCTAATTGAATTTGTTTCATTTCTATTTTTATTGATAATAAAATTGGATCTAAATGAATTCTAAATTGAATTTGTTTTGAATATGTAATAGACTTTGTTTTGAATATGTAATAGACTTATATTTTAATTCTAAATTGAACCTAATTAAATGCTAAATTAAGTTTATGTATTTTTAAAATTCATTATAATCAAATTGTAATTCAATTTTATTCTAATCTATTTTGTAATTGTAATTATCTTTGATTATTCTGGATCTACTATAAAATCCCAAATTAAATCTATATGTGAAGTTGTAATATATTTCTAACTTAATTCTAAAGTAAATATATTTGTATTCTATTTATTGGAATTCAAATTGAATTTGCAATTTTCATTAAATTGAATTTTTGTAACCTAATTTTATATCAATATTGCAATATTGTTCAATTCTACCTTAGGTCTAGGTCAATTTCAATTTGAATAGTTGATTTTGATTTAATATTATTCATTCAATTCCAGTTTAATTCCAATCTATTTCTCATTTAATTCTATTTCATTTTGTTTTGCATTAAAATTGTAATTTTGCCTATTCCAATTTCCAATTGGTTTGTTAATGATTTCTAATGTTAACGTCTTTATATAATTTAAATTCAATTGATCTATATATCTAATTTTCTAATTTGATTCCAATTCAATGCAAATGGAATTCTACTTGAGTTTTGCTTCCATTCTAGTGAATGAATATTATTGGTGGTATGAATATATTTCATTAAAGAAAGAATATATTTCCATATTGGAAAAATTTCATAAACATCTTTTATGTTCAAAGCAAGATCAATTCCCTAGAGATAAATCCGAATGTCATAAAATCCAAATTCTAATTCAACACGAATGAAATAATAGAATTGAATCTGAACTATAAATAATGAAATTAAAGGTAAAATCGAATTATAATGTGGCTTGTATTGAACCCCAATGAAGGAAATTTGAAGCAACATAGAATTGAAATATAATTGAAATAGAATTGATCCTGAATTTACATATAGGTTTGAACTTGAATTGAATAAGAGTTAAAATAGAATTTAGTTATTTAGGATTTATAACTTTCTGATGTATTTACCCAACTGCATTTAATAAAAGCAATACAATTCCCACTCTAAAAGAAAGAAATATGATTTTGCATGGGGACTATTTGGTAAACACCTAGCTTATGGATTTAATCATTTCTATAATTCATAATTGAATGAATAAATATGTTTACCAATTGCATATAGAGCAGGAAATTTACAAATTTCACAACCCTATTAAAAAGATATCATTCACCATAAAGAACAAAACCTTACAAAAGAACAACTTTCACAAGCCTATCAATGCGTACAAAAGAACAACTTTCACAAGCCTATCAATGCAAGAGAGATTGCTTGTTTATATTGTAATTTCCAGCATTTCAGCAGCAGATAGAAGGCTTTGAAGTAGAGAGTGCAAAAAACGTGCGTTTCTACAGTATGCATACTCTCCCCCCCCCCCTCACCCCCCCTTCTGAATAGGAGACATCGCGAGAAGAAAGGTGCACACTGCACACTCTTGTTGTATCTCCAGAATGTCTGTGTACAAATACTGTTTCGTCAGCAGTCATGTAGTCAGCTCATCATCAAGCCGCCTCGGTTTTAGAGAAGCGACTCACTCCCGCGACGCCCAGATTATCTTCAGCATCATGTGGCCTTTGGTGACTGAAGTCGGTCCGAGACTTAGCAGCTGTCGGTCTCCGTCACCGAGACTTGGCAGTCCGTGTCGGTGGACTGGTCGACTGGTGGACCAAAGGAATTCGAACAACACGAAAAACGCCACCAAGATGAGATGTCCTTTTTGGGGTTCACAAGCAACGTTGAGGCACTTGGATTCACAATTTATAAGCGATCACTGCCACTTGTCTTGCGATGAACAAGTCTGTCTCCATGGTGCATCGCTTCCCCTTTCGGATTGCGATGCTGGGCACCATGGTTACTTTGGGCACCAGTTCACTGAGGAGAAAACCAGATGGGTGCCATCTTCGCTTCTCGGATGAGAGGGGGGGTCACGGACGGTCACGGGGTGTTTTTCTTTGTCATTTGTGAAGCTCTACACCAGAGTCCCCAGCCGTGAAGTCAGCTTGAGGTGGTTGACGATTGACACCTGCAGGCGGCAGGAATTCTTTTTCATGGTATGCAGATCTTCACCTGCCGGGTGCTTGAGCCACCTGGGGGTTTGCAGCCACTGTTTTCCATCAGCCGCCCAAAAAGGGTTAAGCCGTTCATTCTCTCAGTTTTGTGAAGGTTTATGCCTTCTTTTGAGACCGACTTGGTTGCAGATCCATCATTCCCCGGACAAAATCTAAACTGCATTAGGGTTTGACTGGGATCTGTTTGGTCAAAACCGTGCTCTGACCTCAGGACAACATCGTCTTCCCATTTGTGGTCTACTGGGCCCCGACCTGGGCCTGGAATTTGGGATGTGGCGACTTTCTTTGGAATTCTTTACAGAATTGCCCTTTCTTTGGAGTCTACTACACATCGGAGTTTGGTCGGTCCATTTCACGAGTTCGAACTGGGGCTGGTTGCTGACCACTGAGGCAATGTCTGGGCTTGAGAGGCGGGAAGAAAAGGACAGGTGCCCCAACAACACTAGCCAAGAATCTAGGGGGTCTTGGAACATAAAAGACAGCTATCGACTTTTTTCTTTGCTTTTGGAGACTTTTGTTCTTGTGCATTGTTCACAAGGCCTGGCTCATCGAGCAGTTGCCTGGCCCAAAAGAATCCCCAAATATGTTGTGCATGCTAAATTATCCAAGGATATGTTTGATACACACAGTGAAGTGATATAATTGATATATCCAACCACTGACAGATGGTTGCCCCGAATCCCCATGTATCTCAACACTTGTTCGTAGATGATTGCTGGCCCTATTACATGAGCGTGAACACTGATGAGCGGGGCATTCGGAAGACCTTTTCATCCAACGAAACCAGCACCCCCAAAAAGGGTCACCCAGTTTCTTTTTTTTGCACGCTCCTACTTATATAACTAAAATAGGTGCCTACTTAAGTAAGGGAGTAAGCTGCTAGCAATATGAAGCTTCTAGCTAGGTCGCAGGATAGCTCACGCTTCTTCAAGGAAGCTCCCCCCCAACCTGAAAACGGACAAGGCTTCGATTCCTAGATCTTATTTGGAAAGGCTGGCGGAGATGATGGAGAACCCCGTGGGCGACGATGACACGGACATCAACCTACTACAACAGCTTCATGAACTTGAGGTGACACATTGGGTGGCGCAAGAGGAGCCTCTGTGGCTCTTGGGAGATCCGAACGGAGCTTTGTAGAAGTACAACCAGACACTGCCTCCAGTTCGACTCAGTGGGGACTGAGAGACTATCTTGTTTGGGAACTTTGACATCAGACAGTATGCCAAGCCAAACTCCTACCATCTGACAATAATTAGTGAGCCTGAGCCAGTCTGTAGAAAACTAGAAAACTCTCCCTCTCCGCCAAAAAAGATGGTTGAATGGGGGTTCTGGGTACTTTTTGTTCATCAACCATCTCGTGGAACATTTTTGGCTCTCAACAATATTTGTTGAGCCCTTGTCGTTATTCTCTATAGGGGTTCTGGGGAAATTTTGGTGCAAAAAGTCACTCCGTTTCTTGTCCTTGTTATTCAGCGAGGTGGCTGATTGTTAGGCTGTTGTGTTTTGGTTCAATGTTGTAATTCTTAATGCTTGACTGTTATGCTTTAGTTTCATCGTTAAATGTTTTGTTGAGGTTGTGTTTGGTTCAGACGACCAAATTTTCTCCAGAACCCCCATAGAGAAGAACGACAAGGGCTCAACAAGAATTCTTGCTTCGCCCAAACATCTTCAACGGCGGTGGTTGATGAACAAAAAAAAGTACCCAGAACCCAAACATCTTCAACAACCCTCTCATTGAACTCCCTATTTGTCCTTCCCCCCCTTCGCTGGCTCGGCTCTCGCTCGGCTCTCGCTCTGGTCCGTCAGGTCGGTGCGCAGCTCGCCTTCGAGCTCGCTGAGAAGCGTCGGAGTGCGCTACGCAGGACGCGGTGTGGTTGGGATGAAGATGGAGCAAGGACCTTCTCATTCAACCAGGCATTCATCATTCATCACCCAGAGGTTTCAGGGTCTGGAACGTCAGGCAACCAGGGTTTGAGGATGATGAGAAGGATCTTTGACCTTTTGACCTTGGATTCCTGGTTAAGATTGGCCCGAGTGGAATGATCCTTGACCGTCAAGCCCTTGGGATGATTCCTTGCATTGTCCAATTGCTGATCAGTACACTGATAGGTGGTTGGAGCCGCAAGCAAACCCGTTTGCACTGGCCTAGCATGGGCTTCAATTGGTTGTTTTCAACGGGCCATTTGCTTGCATTCGGGTAGGTGAAGCGTTGGCAGGTAGACTTTAGACCTGCGATGGCTTATGCGCTACCGCCACGGCGAACATGTTTGCCACAAGCCTGCCAGAGGACCTTGGCTCGCGTTTGCCCCAGCTACATGGAGAGCGGCAAGGCGGAGGGCAGGAGGATGGCCAAGGACCCAACCTGGGGAAACGCAGTACATAATTGTATTGTAGTTGCAGCTGTACAAAGTTTGCGTCTCTTTTGCAGGCAGCGCAGCGCAAGTCGCCACCGATGGTGGCTCCTGCGCATTTCGAGGAGATCCGACGTACATTTCGGTGAGACCTGCGGGCTTGGGCATTGCGTGGGAATTTCGGTCAAAGCAATGTTTAATGTTGAACCGCTCTCACAAGCTGGTTCAGATGTTGTTTCCCTGGTTAGGATTAGCAGTGCCCCGTTGAGATGTGGACGTTGATTTGACAATTGGCCGTTTAAGAATTCCGCATTGGGTTGAACAGTTTTTCCTTATGGTTCGTGCATTGATTTGGGGCCACAAATCAATCCCACTGCAATCCCAAACTCTCAACAGATTTAATCTCAAAGCGACTGGATCTTCAAACTTCAAGAGACAAATCGCTTCAATTCGCTTCGGGGCCTTTAACGTCAAAGCTTTGAGATGCTCAGTGATGAACTTGACAAGCGCGTGCGCCCCAAACCTAGTCCCTAGGATTCGACTCCAAACCCTCCGTCAGAACCTAATCCTCCTAACCAGTTTCGCAAGTGGAGCTTCCGGCTTGGCTGATTTGCTTGGTAGGCTTGGGTGGGTCACTGCAGCACTTTTTGTTCACGCATTGAGACACGTGGTGGGGCTCCCAGATATTTTCTCTTCAGGACCACTTCTGCTGGCTTCCGATCCCTACGGTGATTGCTGAGGGAGTCGGGCATGCTCAGTTGTCACTCGTGGAACACTTGTAGACTACATCACCTTGCAAGTTGCAAGTCTTCAAATTTTTGAAGTCCTCCACTACCCGAATACAGGAGCCATGTAGATATATAGTAGGATCATTTTGCCGTGCTTTGTCAATTCCCACCACTTTGAACCAGTTTGCAGCACCAAGCTTGCGGAATGGTTTGCAGCACCGTGTTTGACTGATACTCCAAGCTTTCGGAATGCCGATGCCATGTTTGACTGAGCCTGTGAACGTGGACGTTTGTAAATGGACACATACGAGATCATGTTGAGCTCGACACATGATACCTCTCGGAATTCCTCTTGATGTACAGAATTGTGTATGTGTGCATGGAAACAATATTACTGTAATTGGCAAGTGTGTGGTGTTGATTCCCGTAATTGGCAAGTGTGTGGTGTTGATTCCCAAGTTGCAGTGCGACTGGCCGTCTTGCTAACTACATGCAAACTTGGGTGTTGTTCCTTGGCGATGCCCATAGACTATCACACACTGCAACATGGCAGGCGTTGCTTATGTAGGCGCCTCATGCCTCTTGAGGGTTTGGTGACAGTGACACTTGTTGGATTGGAGGTCTTTTCTTCGGACTTAACATCAGCCAACCCTGTGGTCCCGACCACCGAAGCGTTTGAGATTCATCGTCAGATGGTGCTGAAGCATGGCCATGTGGACCACGTGCATTCGGCCTTCTTCGAGGCACGACGACGCGGTCACCATCGGTCGCCGAGTGGATCTGAGGATTGGACGAGTGGCAAATCACCCATGGTTCCTTTGGCTGTAGGGAAGAGGGCTGATCCATGACCATCCCTAATGGGATTCCAATGTCCTTTACTCAGCTGTTGCTGAAGGGAGTGCCACGGAGGTGATCTAGGGTGATCTCTGATTTTGGATGCAAAAGCCGATCCCTTCTTTCGGCTGCATTGTTTCAATCACTACCTGAACAGTTACCTACTTTTGCAGCTCCATCAATTCAGTGGCGGGGATAGTGCTTGCATGCTTCTTGACCCTTTAGTGGTGAGTCGGCGACTGCCACAAGGCTGCAAAGCTGTTGTTCTTGTTCTCTTTTTTGGTAGAATCTGCAAGAAGACGTGGTTGCACAACCTCTATCATTCGCAGGATTTGTTCTTTCCTCAGCGCGTACGCCGAGCGGTCCAGGGCCATATCGCCGAGTTCCGCTCCTTCCTACGGAGGGCCCTGAAGCGGCCAGGGCCACTTTAGAGGGGCTGAGAGCAGTGGACTGTGAAGACTTGGAGGGACACAGACAGTGGACGTTGGTGTGGAGCTGTACAGTGGAGATCACCATCTATGCACTGCCGTAGGAACATCTTGAGTGAAGTCGAGAATCACCCTAGAACTGAAGAATGAAACAGTAGTGTGGTGAGGATCTACGGGCATGATTTGCCTTTGAACTTGAAAGAACTTTCTGCCAGTCCTGCAGCTGTAGACTGATCAATTGCATGAACACCAATATGTTCCCAGGACCATGTTCTTCATGAAGTGTTCCCAAAAACGAATCACTGATCGCACCACCCTGATCGTGACCTCAGTTATCGATCCGCTGGGCTTTCTGCCAAATCATCCTGTGAAGATTGAGATCCTCCTCAATCCATAGTAATCCACTATGGAGCAAATTGAACCATAGTAATCCATAGTAATCCTCAATCCACTAGTTCCTCTTCAAATCCCTTGGAGCTGATTGAACCTTCTACTTAGGCACAGCGCTGGCCGGAGGAGCATCTATGAAGCGATCCCGCAGGACGTGCATGCCGTGCGGCTGAACAATATCCCCCAAGTGACACCCTGAAAAGAAGAGGAAAAGGTGGATGAGTAGAAGGATCCATTTGAGTAGAAGTTGGACAACTCAGTGCATCAAGCCTCAACCATGGATGGGTTGGAAGGTGGATCTGAAGGAAAGCCCGTTTGGCGGATCCTTGGAGACACTGAGTCATCCGGACCTGGGATGTGTCACTGCCATGGTCACTGCCACCGGACCTTTCAGGGGTAACTTTGCCCCAGCTGTGGCAGGGCTCAGAGTCAGATTAACGTGGCCTTGGGCTGTGGGAGAATAGCCTTGGATGCACTGTGTCGCTGTCGAGAGATGTTCCTGGTCGACCTGCGTTCCGTTCTTTTGAGGATGTATCGACCTGCCAGTGTTGGTCGACCTGCTACGGCACAGTTTCCAGTTTCAACCTCATGGGTGAGTGCATGGCCTATGCAAACCTAGGGTTCAGGGTTGGCATTCTTCACTTCGATCTTGGTCAAGTTTGACCGTGACCGATAGACCTCAGGCAGCCGCAGTACACTTGTCCAGAAGAACAGGTGTTCTGCGGTCAGCTGGTCCCGGCTTGATTGCCCGGCTTTGTTTTGCTGCATCCTCTGTGTGCTCAGGTGCCCCAAATGTCCCAGAGAGAAAACCTCCGTCGCTGGTGCATCGGACAGGATGCCGAGTCTGAGGAGCTGAAGGTTTACCCTGAGGTGGGGAAGTGCTGGGAAGTGCGGGGAAGATATTAGATATATATAATATGTAATGTACACATAAATACATAAATTCATAAATACACTATATATATATGTATATGCACACATGAATATGTGTTTCTATTTTTCAGGAACCTCCAGATAGCTTTTTGCGTGGGCCAGCTCAATTTATTTTAGTTCCAGAGGCTCCGGTTTCTGACTTGTCACTTGGGGGAAATCATGCTGACAAGTGAGTCTCTATGCCTTTTTGAAGACATGCGGCTGACCCACAGCCACGGCCATGGCCACCTGGCATTGGTTGAACACTTAGTTGTTGGAGATTCGCACACATGAAGTCGACAATACAAAGTGGATGATACTGAACCTACCTTTTGGCGGTGTAGTTTCTGGCAACTCTGGGTAGATTTGCGTATGCATGTATTTGTATTTTATGTGTGCAATCGACGGGACTCTTTTTTGTGTGTTTTCCTTGTGATTATTGCATACCCAAACAAGGAACTTTGATTTGGGCAAACGCCTTTCCAGCCTTCTAAAGAGGCGGGTGCCGACACCACCATGGGCATCATCCAGCGTGATTGCAATGGTTTTTGGCGGCTGGGATGGAAATAATCAGCTGGGATTGTTGGATTGGTTTAATGACCATGCAGAATCCCAACTGCCAGATTGCTTGAAAGTGGTGGGAGGAAGCCGGGATCAGGTGGCCAGTTTCCACTTACTTGACACTGCCTCGTGTTCTGGTTAGTCCTTTGACACTCTATATAAATCTTTGGGGATTCGTCAGCTTCAGATGAATCTGGAAGACGAACATTTTGCAACAGGCGCACAGTACACAGCTAAGGTACTTCAAAGGATTTTACCTTTTCAACATTGGGAGACTTGCGGGACAATTGTGTATTGCAGTTGCGCCCTTCGCACAAGGGCAGAGCATGGCAGGTTTTGACCAGAAGAAATACCGAGATATACAGACAAATTGGGCCAAAGGACCCACTAAAGGCCACCAGCTCAGGCTGCTATTTTTCTGAGGGTCCCAAGTTTCTGGCCACATCTCAGTCGGATGTGTTTAGCTGAGGCACTACTTGGCATTCCGCTCGGTGGGAGGGGGCAGCGACAGCACGGCTTGTTCTAGGGTGAGAGCGCAGCACGGCTTTGAGCAGTGACACAGTGGCGAAGAGTCACTTTCGATAGGTAGTTGTTACCCAGTTTGTAATCAGCAACTATTCACTTAGGAGGCCCCACAAGAGTCACAAGACCGAACTGGGCTCGACTTCTCACATAATTATCGTAGTGTGAACCACCTCAAGCCTTCTGGGAGTAGATTGCATGAAACTCTTCGCGGGGTGTCCGTGGCCTCTTTGTCGCCTGTCTGATGAAAATTATGGTCTTGGGATTTGGAGGCTCGACTAACAAGGACGCTATTAGGTGGAGGGAGGCCACCGCTACTAGGAACCAGAAGGCTACTAGTTGCAAGGGGACACGTAAGCCACTCAAAGCCTTGCCACTTGCAAATCCTTTGGACCTCTTGATGAATCCCAGAGCCACCCCCCGCTTTTCGACTGGACACCCCGGCGACCTGGACAACGCAGGTGCTGACCAGCAACTTGGGCGCAGGTGAGCTCACACGTCAGGTGAGGTGCACGAACCCGATTGATATGGGGAGTCTATTTGGGTCCATTGGGTCTACGTCATCTACGTGTGTGTTTTTTCAGCATTAGTCAGTGGCATGCCACGAGATATATCCACATCAATCAGATTGCATGGGACTCCCCGATGCTCTTCTTCTTTTTCTTCTCACTCACGGGAGCTTGTGCTGCTGGGGCAAGGTTTTCTTGTGCTTCTTCTTCTCTGACCGTGGTGGTGGGAGCCAGAAGGTAAAACAAGAACTCGTGGCTTCCATCCCGCTGAGTTGAGAGCCACAGCATGTCCATTTGTTCTAGGACGACCGATGACCACCTGAGCCTGGGCTCAGCCTGGGTGGCGTTCCATTCTGGGCTTTGACCAAAAAGCGGAGGTTCCCTTGTCACATGACCGGATTGACCACCAGAATCTCGATCACCTCAAAAGATGAATTGGGAAAGGCGGGAAGAGTCATCCCTTCAAAGATGACATGTTGAACTAGAAGATGGAACTATCAAGCATGAGAATACGCATGAGAGTATGATGTTGTAAGCAACTTACAACTAGTCCACCGTTTCGGGATATTCCAACATTTCCATTTGCTCCGACTTTTACCCTCTCCCTCTCCCTCTCCAAATCTCTATGCCCTCACTGCCTCCTGTGCCTCCCCTGTTCCAACTTCATCTCATGTGTTCTATGTGTCTGTCCGTCCGTCCATCCATCCATCGGTCTCTCTCTCTCTCTCACACTCACTCTCACACTCACGGTCACTCTCACTCTCACTCACTCCCTCGCTCGCTCGCTTGCTCACTCAATCCCAAAGTGGCCGGACCGGGATGAGCCATCAGGCACTCTGGCGAAAACGAATGGTTCACCTCATGGGCCAAGACCATCCAGCTGTTGGGGCCCAAGAGAAATCTCGCACCAAAAAACCAGGGAAGCCCTTCCAAGGTTCGCCAGTGGCACATTAAAGTTTTATTCCTTGATTTGCTGCACTGATCTTAGAGTTTTTTCACCATGTCCCCCATGTTTACTGAACCCTTCTCATCAGCTTTCTTTTGACCCAGCTAGTGGTGTAGCTCAGAAAATGCACTTGTACAGTAGTGCCTACCGACTTCCGTGCCTATCTGCCCATCTAATTATACATTTTGCTGGGTGGCTTGATTCTAGATATACTGTACAACATTTGCAAGTTAGACCAAGTCAAGTAGTCCCTATTGAACAACAAAAGCACCCTCTGCAAAAATGACACTGGGTATTCCGCTGAATAACGTATTTAGCTTGGCCATCTCCGAGGCCGAACTTCTCCAAACCGACTCCCAAGACACTGCGAGGCGCCAGATGGGGCGGCGGGTGAAACCGAGCGTTAGCTGCGTTGGGTCTTGCTTTAGCAAGGAAGGGAGACCCGAGACCAACAATAACCGTTGCTAGATAACAGCAAGCTGGCCATTGTGCTGTGAGGCATCGTTGCCTTGTTGAACCAGGATTACACGGCGACGCATTTTGGCAACCACTTGCCCTAGCTCTTGTTTTCCCCGCTTGCCTCAAGTTGTGGGTGAGCGCAGGTAGGTTGCAGTGTTGCACATAGATGTGTTGCACCGTAATGAGAGGATGGCATAAATAAACAGCCGCTGCCTCATTCATCGAGCACACCCAACTCACGGCTCTCAGATCCCGTTCGTCTTCGTGCTTTCACTGTGAAAGGGGATCCCTCACCGTGCCGATTTCCCGGTTTTTTTCAGATGCTTCGCGGAGCCAAAAGCGGAGAGGTCGGTGCTCCTGCGGCCCATCATGGGCCCTCGCCCTCGGAAGCATCACGTGTCAGAGGCGGGCCGATTTCTCACGGTGAGCCGCACGGCACATCTACTGGCGGTGTTGGCCATCTATTTTTGTGCTTTGCTTTGCTGTGTCAGAGGATTGGTGATCTATCTGTGGTTTCCTTCTCTTGAATATCGAAAGTCAAGCCCCTTTCCACCGCTCATTGGGGATCGCGGATCCGTGGTAGCCCCGGCTGACCTGCCAGAGCACTTTGAAGTCCGCTTGAATTTGGACTGAAAGATAGTGGCCACTGATCACCCCCACTGAAAGCATACCACAACTATAGCCTTGACAACGCTTCCAAACATACTAAAGACTGACGCAAGCATACCAATACAATCGCCAAAGATATGGCAAGTGATTGAAGCCATGCCAACCGGCCCTGCAAGCGACGTTGTGGAAGGCATTGATGCAAGCTGCGCCAAGGGGTGTACCGAAAGCTCAGGACGCTGAATGGACAGGTTTCGGGTGTTTTGGCCGATAGACCTGGTATGAGTGCTGTCATTCCAAAACCATGACAAGTCACATTCGTGAAATGCTGTTATATGAGTCTTCCTAATCGATGATTCTTTATGTATCCATGGCAAGTAGCAGTCTTGCTTCCTCAGAGCCAGAGCTTGCCGGAAGTGTTGGGTGTTTGTAGACAAAGGCTAAGCCGATAGGCTGATAGTAAGAATTCCCCGTTCGGTGAAGGTAATTTACACATCTTTGTCCTTTTCTCCTTCAATTATATGCTGACATGTTTGCCAGGTTCGCAAAACAGAACTGCACTGGTATCGCGTCCGATCACACGTGCCAAACTCACATGCTAAATCGGTATTGCTCCCTCCCTTCGGACAAAATGAACCGTCTCAGAGACCGTCTCGAAGGTTTGCAAAAGGTGTTGCAGCGACGGATTTCCGGTTCCAGGAGGGTCTCAGTTTGGCCCAGGATCCCAAAGCTGGGTACGGTGCTTCGGACAAAGGCCCAGGCAGGACTTTTTTTGCCAAGATAGCAAACATGCTCCAACATAATACTGTAAACAGGTATGCGACTAGTAACAAGTGCGTCGCTTCTAGTAACAAGTGCCTTACTAGTAGTAACAAGAAGCTATACAAAAAAAGGGGCATTTCCGCATTTCTGGTGGTGCTACAGATCCTTGAGCAGTGTGGCATTGAGGTTTGCCACACAAGCCAGCCCTCAAAAAGGAGGAAAGCCACCGACATGCATGTTGCCACCGACATGTATGATGCCAGCAATTGCTCCTGCAAAGCTCGGGAAGGTCATTTGGGAGATCCAAACCGGCACATCATACACATGACTCTTCTGCATCGTGGCCTCTTTTCCTGGTCTCATCACGTCTGGGAAGGAGCAAAAGCCGATGGGGTTGGGAACCTGCCTTGCTCTTGACCGCCTTAATGGATATTGCAGCGGGCTGCCTCAGTGTATTTCACTAGTCTTTCACTCCAAATACAGCAGGTTCATTGGCGTTGAGCTGCGAAGCCTGACTGGGCCCTCTTGGCCCCCGGGCCTGAGCGCCAGGCTCGCCCAATGACCTCATGGGCTCGCCCCATGCCGGCAGTGGCCCCATGCCACGTGGAGGCTAAAGCAGTGCTGCTGCTTTGTTGTCTTTCCAAAGCCTTGGGGGTCCAGGGCCACTTCTGGTGAGTTGGGGGGTCCTCCAATCCAAGTATGGGCGGTTCAGGACGTGCATGGTGTGGAAGCAGGCGACCACCTCCACATGCGCACCTCATGCCTCCAGGTTCCAAAACGCCAGTTGACCCGCTGAGGATGGGTTTAGTTGATATTGCATAGTTGATATTGATAATCACCAAGGTTTTGGGAACGCACATCCAACCCCGACCAACGGTCAAGCAAGTTAGTCTAGCTTGCTAGCCACTTTCTGCGTTCGGAATGTCGCGTGTTTTCTGGCTTCGCTTTGACCACCATGTGTTTTGATACTATACTTGTTTCACAGTTACATACAAGTTCAGCTTACTCGTGTTTCCACCAGGCCTTTTGTAGAAACCCTTTTGTTCAATTTCAGGACTCGGTTGAGACTGAACTGTTGAAAAATCGTCACCAGGGTGGGAGATCCTTTTTCGTCTCCCAGCAGTCCCCACTCCCAAAAGCGATTTTGAAGCAGGTGATTTGCTTCGAGAGATGGACAGCTCTCCTGGAGGCCACTTCAAGGAGCGCGACACTTCCGGGTGAAAAACAATTAAGAACCTGCGGACTCACTTAGGGATTTTGGAGATCGCGGTAGGATATATATATATATATAGATATAGGCATGACATGTACATTTTCTGGGGCCCTTCGCTGGGCACGTTCGATGACCATGAGTTGCTTGTGGTTGATGTCGGAGCTGTCATTGAAATTTGATTTTAGCATATTTTAGCAACGGAGCCGGATGTCTCAGATTGACTCCTTGAAGATGCCTCCGTTCGCGACCTTCGGGTGTCTCCTAGGACACCTTTCCTCAGCCGCCCAACCCGCCAAGACAGGCTGTCGCCCGAGTTTGACAGAAGACCTTCATTCTTGAGATGGTTGGAAGATTTGGGTGCTCCCTAGACTTTTGGCATCTTTTGACCGAGCGGCTCGCTTGGCCCCGAAGTTGGTGTGTTAGTTTGTCTGTACTTTGGAAATTACCTCCCTGTGATTGTGAGCAAGTGGAGCCGAGACCCTTGAACCACAAATGTTGCACAAGGCAATGCCACATGTGTGCGTACTAGTGGCTGAATGAGACCCTTTCATTGTCAGGCAATTATGACGCATATGATTGTGCTTTTTCTTGGGGGCATCTGACCTTTGCAGAGAATTGATTACACTGCCTGACTGCTTGGACGACTCACCGATGTGAACGCATCACCGGTTTTCTTCAGATGACCAAAGGAGCGTACCCGTCGATGGACACGTCGTGTTGGAACTGGCACCTCAAACTCCACAGAGGGATCTCTGTGTCTTGGTTCCATAGGTAACTAGGAGCAAGAAGCCACTAGGTATAAGGGCTCCTGGCCTTACTACTAGGAGCAAGGACGCTACTAGGGGATCGAAGTAATATTGAGCAACTGAGAGTGTTTTCCAAGAAGAGTAGGGGCCCTCGTGGTGGCGCATCTCATTTTGCCAGGCCCCGTGGAGTGGGGAGGACCGCCAGGGGGCTTGGGTGAAGCTTCGGAGGTTGTTTCAAGAATGTGGATGTGTCTCAACTCCAGAGGATTTGTGTTGAGCTCTTTTCGATGTTTTAGAGGCAACATCAGCCAACAAAAAGGTTGAGACTAGCCAGAACTTGGTGTCAATTTGGAACCTCGGCGGTCCAAGGTTCAAGCTTCCACCCCTGAGTGCGAGGCCCGCATCCAAAGATGATGCGTCTCCAGATCCCGGATGGAAGGGGAAGCGCATCGCCGTATGAGTCGCATAGATTGAAGGATCGATCTTTTGGATTTTTTTTAGATCCTCGCAATCCAAGGTTGCTGATGTCTCCCTGGTCCTGGCCGGAAAGAAAGTTTTCAATCCTCACCTGCGTGAGCATTTGTTGCAAGCCTTGCGGCCACGCTAGTTCCAACACTGTGTCAAACCAAACCTGAGGCTCAACATTGCCACCCAGTCTGCTCCAAAGTCGAGCAGGCTTCTGACCCTAGCCGACCATCCTCTCCTTTTGCAGCCCGATTCAGATGGGGTTGGTTGTGTCTGTTCCAGTTGTGAAGCTCGGGAGTATGGACAATGCAGGAGTATGGCCGTGCTCTGGCGTCAACAAGACGATCACTTTATGCCACAGTCATGCTGGAGCGTTTCAAGGAAGCGTACACAAGGAAGGCATGAGGCGACAAATGGACTGAGACTCAGGAGCCAACCGGACAATCCGAGCCTAACTCAAAGGCCAGCTGATTAGTTGACGCAGGGCCCAAGCAAGCAATTTCAATCTACGCAGTTGACACCCTCGCTTTTCCGCCAACCTGCCAACAAGACTTGATGACCTTGCTTCCTAAATCAATCTTGGGATCGATGAACCAAGTTGATTCGTTTATATAGATGAGCTGTCCCCTGCAGATGTTTTGAGCAGAACGCATTCGAATTATGGGTGTTCGTCAAAGAGAGCCTCCTGGACTAATTACACTTGTGTTTGGGGAAATACGGGTACTATGCACGTGTCAAGCAAAGGGGAGCGACCATCATGTGTGCATTACAAAGAACCGCTTATGGTGCTTGGAGCTTGTCAACCTTCATGCTCGCTTTGCATGACAAATCTGTGCAGGCTTAAAGTCACATATTGTGGCTACTGAGAGTGGGGCAGGTTAATTTTTCCTTCTGTATGCACCCATGCATGGATCAAGCTTGGCATGTTGTGCATACATTGGTCTTAAACCGCTTATGAAAGGCTAAGGGCTGACCGATGGGACATGTCCCAAGGTCCCACGGGTGAACACCAGCTTCAGTTCTACCGTACTACCTATTATGCATCAAAAGAAATCCCGCCAGCCAGCAGGAGTGCGAGCCTGCCAGAGTTCTTTCTTCCCAACCCCATGTTCTAGGTGTTTGGCATGGGAGATCACTGCTGCTGAGATCACTGACATCAGGACACTGGACGACTTGCTAGACAAGGCAAACCAGCAAACAAACCAAGACTGAATCACTTCCGACCTTGAAACGATGGCACAGTCGGATGCGAGAGAGCGCAGCCGAAGCCCTCATCGTGCAGGCGGGTAAGGAGAGCCCAAGCGCGGCCCGAGGGTGTCATGCTAGACCGCTCCAAATCATCACAGTGGTTCGACCAGACGCAAGGTGAACGCGCCGATGCCCTTTGCTCCTAGTAGCATCCTTGCTCCTAGTAGTAAGGCCAGGAGCCCCTAGTAGCGTCCTTGCCCCTAGTAGCGATGCCCTTTGCTCCTAGTAGTAAGGCCAGGGGCGCCCCGTTCGTAGCGTCCTTACTCGTCCTGGGTCCGTTCGCAGCTTCGGACCTTCGGACACTGCCCAACCTTCACCCCAAGCAGGGGCTCGATCCCCCCATACACTTCAGGTGATGACGATGGCACTGTGGGCCCTCACCAGGCGAGTCACCCATCGGCTTGGTGGCCCCCAAAGCTTTTGGGTGGAGGGGCGAGAGGAGATCGTTCAAATGAACACATCCTCATGAATCCCTTGCTCCTAGTAGCGATGCCCTTTGCTACTAGTAGCTTCTTGTTACTAGTAGTAAGGCCAGGAGCTACTAGTAGCGTCCTTGCTCCTAGTGTCATGAAGGGGACTCAGCTTTGGTAAAATTCCGACTCAAGATCGCTAGAATCCACGGCAAAAAGGACCTGCAGATGCGGTGACGAGTGCTGAAGTAGTGTAGCTGGGTTAGTTTTCTATAGTTTTCTTTTCTTTTGTCTACTTTACAAGCCAAATCATGCGTCCTCTACGTGAGAAGCAGTTTTCTTCTCCAAACAGGATTCAGAAGCCTTTCATAGCCCTTCTCATGCTTGGGCCAGTCAAAAAAGCACACGAACTTTCTCTCAACCCCAGGTCTCCTACGAAGAGCTTGTGGAGGCTCGTGGCCAGTGCGAAGGATTTGCGGTCGTTTTCTTCAGGTGGTCTTACTGGATTCAATTTATGAGACAAACCACTTATCCTCAAGCATTGTCAGTTTCAACCTGGTACCGCTTTCACCCTGTCTCAGGTAGTTGGGGTTAAACTAGGGCGACCGGGCAGGCCAGCATGTCAAATGTCAAAAAGGACAGGACAGCTTCACCGAGGCAACAAGTGAAGAATACCCTCCAAGAATATCGAGAGTCTCTGATTTGTTCCAAAACATGCGGAACGAGATCACACAGGGAACTCAAATTTTTGTATGCTCTTTACATGACGAAAACATTTGGAGATTTCAGCCCAGAATAGCTGGGTCCGTGCGCGTTTTGCTTTCGTGCCAGATCGGCTTATCCAAAGGCCTTGCCCGGGAACAGGCTCGGATTGTCCAGATGCTTGGAGGAAACACCGGTTGGGGATGTAATTGTAGTAGCCAACTAGGGAACGACGCCACCAGGCGCCTGGTCTTGTCGGCAAATCGGTCATGACGCCCCCAGTGTCACCCTGCGGCGCACGCGTGCGCACCCTATTTTCGCCACTTGCCAAAGCTGCTTTGTGTTCCACATTTTGGAGAGAGCTTTAACGTTCTCCTGAGGCGATCCACGCATCTTCTCGCGTCGAAACACCCACTGCCACACACGCATCTACAGCTGAATGCGTGGCCTTCACACCCTTTCCTTGTTTTTTGTTGGCTGTTTGTGGCAGCCAACTTTTCAAGCTCTTCCGAAGCACGCTCAACAGAGGCATGCTCGCGTAGCATCGACATGGTGCCCCACGGCAAGAGTCGTTTGGAAAAAACAACAACGCTGAAACTAAAGGTGACAAACCTTTACCAGTCTCCAAATGATGTTCCCAAACTGCTAGCCACAACCCCACAAAAATTCTGAGTAGTCCGTCAAGCCTTGAAAATCCAAACACCAATGGTCCTGGTCCAAAACAATTTTGATGGTCAAACCAACAAAAGGATCCCCACTACGAACTTTACACCAAACTAAAGTCAAGTCGTCCAGATAACCCAGGTGACCACGAAGCCAAGGTCGGACAACCGGGGGTACCTCGTCTATGTCCACAAAACCCGCCAACGGCAACAAAAGAACCAACGAAACGCACCGAAAACACCAAGAAACAAAGGTTGCGGCGTGTCTTGACTGAGCCAAACAAGCATGCATGTGGCCAAAAGGTGTGCCTAACCGAGTCCAACCCGCAAGAAGACAAACCCAAGTATACAGTACGCTACGCAGCAGGTGTGCTAATTAGCCCCAGCCCCACCCCCCCTACGCGCCCCATGTCAACACATTCGAGCGCAGTGCGAAAACACCAGGCGCCCCGCAGCGACAATGGCAACTACTTGGACGATCTTGGATGTACTTGATTTGCGAAGTAATTAGGAGTGTGAGTGTTCTTCAAAGTTGACGTTTGGATTTGTGGGAGGTGCGGGCACTCAAGTCATTTTAAAGTCCAGGCCGTTGAACTTGCACAGAAGATCAAGCGGCAGGAGATCAAGAGCTCCTGTGGCTGCAGAGAGGTTTCTGAAGAGTTTTTGTGGGTTTGTGTTTATATGATATGAATGGAACCGGTACAGTAACCCTTTTGTCAACACCGTGTTTAAGAATGTTTAAGACGTGTTTGGAAAAATTTGGAAACAGGTTCATTCTTGAGCTCAAGACGTGTTTGTTCCCCTTCTGATAGGTTTTTGTTTAGCGCTTGAAATGAAGCAATATCCCGAATCCCGTCCCGTTAGCTCATGGGAGTGAAGGAGCTGCATTGGTTCAAGTCGAAGCAGGAATTGGTTCGCGCCAGGTCGGTTTGAAATGCCATGGCGGACAACTTTACTGCAAGGTTGCAGAGGTGAGCTGACTTTAAAAGAAAGCACACCTCACCCGTGGTCACCCTTCTTTTGGTGGCTGAAGAGTGGGCTTGAAACCTTTTCTTGGCAAGTGCTTGTGGACGATTACATACCGGTCTTTTGTAGATGATTATATATGATATGTTTGAAGTGCAGATCTGACTTCGGATTTGTCAAAGAAACAACCAAGCAAAGAGACCAACAAAGGAACAACCAAAGGCAGCCACTTTATATATATATATATGATTAGAGGAAAGAAACACGCACACACACACAAATTCGAGATATGAGTACGGAGTACGTACGAAGGTCGCCCAATGCCTAGCAGAAGCCTAAGTGAAAAACAGTCTGAGTCAAAACTCAAGTTTGAGCGATCCAATCCAATGGTTCGAAAATCCAAGGCTCAATGCATCACTGCGGAAAGCAAACCGATGCGACTGCTGGCTTGAGCTACAACAACCGAGGAAATTGAGCAGTAGCATCCAAGCACGTACGTCATCAGGCGTCCGGCATCCCTGATAATATCCTAGGAGCGTTTGAGGAGCTTCGTTGCATGGAGCCTCATACGTCCTCTCCAGCCCCCTGCTGAGCAAAAAACACATTACATAAACACCCAAAGGCTCGGAGCTGATCGCCCGAAGCCCTGAAGCCACCGAAGTGAAGAAATATTGCGCGAGTAAAACGAGTATGTAATGCGGTCTGGCCATCTTAACAACACCAAAGCTCCAAAAGGCCATCAAAGTTCTAGTTCCACAAGCAATCGATCTAAAGCTCCAAGAAAGTGCATGACTGCCGTGAGTGAACCGCTGCAATGGCAAAGGCCAAAGATTGTTCTAGTTAGGAACGGGGCCCAGAAGGAAGTAAGTGGTGAACACTGCAGGTACGCCTGGCTGATCAGGCCAGATATCAGCACGGAGCTTGACCATCTTTGTTGGATTACCAGTCAAGTCCGTGGATGACCCCCCTGCATTGCAGAAACATCAGAAAACAGCAAAGGGTGATCTCTGAATCCAAGGTGGTCACACACACACACCCATCCTCCAGCAAACGTGAACATGCCAATGTCTGCCTTGGCGAAGGAAGCATCGTCATTTTTCAGGGACCACTGTCTTTATATATATATATGTAAATAGTGGGCATTTTCCACCACTCAGTCATGTTTCGTGGAGAATATCGTGGTTCTCTGGTTGGAAGAGAGCTTGTGCTGGGATATCTTCCAATCTCCCTCTGTTGCCTGCAGGATCTTCCACTTGGCCTGGCCTTCCATCCTCTCGGAGCTCTCCACACCTCTCTTGGGCCTCGTGGACACCGTGGTCGTCGGCCACTTCGCAGATGCCGAGGATCTGGCGGCGCTGGCGCTGGCGATCGCTGCCTACAACCCGCTGATCGCGGCTTGGTTCAGGACCATGTGAATCAGGTTTGGTACGAGTCCTGAAGAATGGGCTGCAGAAGAGCGAGAGATTTTGGGTGGTCCAGTGGTTGATTGATCAAGGAGATGCGCAGTAGAGTTTACAAATAGTCCACAATGCTCAGACTCGTCGAGGGGACGAACCATTCAGCTTGGAGACGTAGCTCTCACCGAATCGAAAGAGTTTAAAGAGTTCACCAATTCAAATCCAGGTGTTACCAAACCAGTGCTCCAAGTGGTCCCCTGAAGGAGTTTTTACCGAGGACATTGATCTATATCAGTTCATGGACATATTCATAGCTAGGGCGTATCGAGAAATTGATGTCCACGACCCTGTCACTATTCCACACAAGTGGTCTTGGCAGTACATGACATTTTTCACAACGATCTCTCGTATTTGGGGTGGCGGCGTATAGGGGAGGTCTTGTTAAATCCAGTTTAAATGTTTAAACAGTCCCGTGACCAAGGACCTACCAATCCAAGCACCAAGGCTTTCATTCTTTTCTTGATGCCATGTTCTTGATGAGAACAAGTTGGCCCAGAGTATACCTCATATAATTACATTCTACATATACATATATAAGACACGTATACATACATTTCTTTTCGATCAATGTATTATATTGTAAGGGCTTCGTTCTGGCGCTGCCGACCCCCTTTTTTTAGGAAGGACCTGCAGTGAAAGCTTAATTTAATGTAGAAACAAGGAGCAAGAACGCTAGTAACGTAGAAGCGAGCCGCGACGAGCGAGAATGCCTAACGTTGCCTGGCACGTCGCCTTCGGGAGCTTATTTGGGAGAGGTTGAAGCAGTCGCGCGCTTGGTCAGCATGGGCTCCAGGACTTGTCTTCATGATCAAGGAGGCGATCAAGAACTACTTGGTGAGACACACCAGTGACTTGGCGGAGGATGAACCAGTTGCTGAGGATGGATCCATCAAGAAGCTTGAGATCGATGGATGGAAGGACCACATTAGAAACCAACATCTTCCATACCGTCGGGACTGCCGCAGATGCTTGGAGCTTATGGGAGTCGACTCTCCGCGCAGACGACTGCGGGGAGATCAAGCATCCTACTGCCTCTCATATGACGTGGTTGGTCCGATGCCGATTGGAGAAGACTGGGCTTGGTGTCAAGTCAAAGTACATGATGGTGGCCACCGTGGCGATTCCAAAGTTGTCGAGGGAAATCCAACTTGATGATGATTGTGATCCGACAGATGTCGATGAGCCCGCCGGAAGACCCTGTCCCTGAAGAAACGGTGGCAGAGATGAATCGGAAGTGGCTGGACCACATCAAGGTGCTGGCTGAGCCGCGTGGAGTGCAGAACCTCACCGTTGTGGAGCCTTTGGAGAGTCGCTCTCAGCAGGGCATCGCCAAAACGGCATCTCGTATTGTCCACCGCTATAAGGCTATGGGGGTCGTGATCCACGGTGTGCACACTGATCGCGAAAGCGCCTTTGCCTCGAGAACCTTTCAAGCCTTCTGCCGTCAGGTCGGGCCAGTTGAACCATGAGAGCGAGGACCGCTCCATATGCTTTGGCTCAAGAAAACACCATTTTGCGGTGGTGTTCAACCCTTGCTCTTTGTTCCATTCATAACCACAGAAACAAATCTGCCTAGCTGCACTGTTGTCGCAATATACCTTGCAAACAATCTCATCATCTGGCAACAGGAATCTGATATACAATGTATCAATCGCGCAAGATGTCAATGCATACCATTCGCCCTCAGTGCTAGATAAACTGATCACCTTCTGTGTACGTGAGCTGGTGTACAACTTGTTCCCATTGACAAAAATGGCTAGCGCCTGATGTACTCTTGCAACCCATTGTACCCTGCCAGTCACTGTCCGAGAAACTCTCAAGCAACGTATAGCCTCGTTCTGTTTCTCCAGGATCGTCTGCCATGTCATTACCATCAAGGTCGATGTTCAATTTGTGGAACACTCCACCCAGGATAGATCTGAACTTTCCTGCAAAATATTCACCCAATGGCTCAGACTCATCTACCTTCGAGAATTCTGTACCAGGAACTCTTGATGTACGAATGTCGCCACTCAACTCTGTATATGCCTTGTAGCAAATCTCTGCATGTCTCTTCTCGTTCACAATAGTGATTGACTTGTACCGTTGTTCAATAATGTGTAAACGCTTCAAGAACTCAACAGTACCACCTGTTTCATAATCTGCAAACTGAAATGATACACTGTACTTCTTACGCAACTGTACTTCTGGCGCAACGTAGGAATCACTTCATCTGTCAACGCTGATTGTCTGCCCCATAACAAAATGTCATCAACGTGAATCAACATACATCCCTTGCTCTCAGGTAGCAGAAACAATGATGGTTGCTCCAAGCTCACCTCAGCTTTCAACATGCTTTGCAAATCACCAGCAACGTACTCGTACCATAGTCTTGCTGCATCTCTCTGTACGGGCAAACATTTGTTGATGATGTATCCCAAACGTTTTCCACCAACTGACAATGGATGGGCCAAAGCAGTGCAGATAGCCCTGTCGCGTATAGCTATGAGTGCAGGGCTGGATACACCTATGACAGATGAGAACATTGCAAGGATTGAGGCGGAGAGGAGCACCAATACAGATCCACCGAGAGCAGAGCCGGAGAATGAGGATTGCTACATGGAAGGAGTGAACAGAGAAGTTCGACAGAGGGTTAGATATGCAAGAGAAGTGAGACAGAATGAGGTGACAGAGCCGGAGACGGGGAGCGCGCCTATGCATGAGAGGGCAGCTCAGAGAAAGGAGAGAGAGAGGAATGAGTGAGCATTGCAGTACAACATTGAGCCATGCAATGGTTGCAGTGTGGTCTATGAACATTGCAGCAGTACAGTGGATGTGGTGTCATCCTGAAATCTTGCAGATGTTGAGGCGATTTGACATTGCGCAAAGCAACATTGGGTGGATTGAGAAAAGTCTCCACGAGTTGCAAAGCCGGAATCCATTCGAGTTGGCAAAATCTTGATTGGAGTGGTGGTACAATACAATACAGAATGCAACTACAAAGCTTCAAGAAAGAAACCTTGACAGACTTGGTACAGTCTTGCGAAGTTGAGGTTTGGTGCAAAGTCATCAGTTGAACTTTTCACCAAAGGCGGGGTGACTAGCTTGTCTCCTGCGGCGTGTAGCATTGCAAAGGCACAAATCGAGAAGTGTACCGCAGGCCATTGAGCGGTCCAAAACAAAGAGTGATTTTTTGTTGTTGTCGTTGTCGTGGTCGTGGTCGTTGTCGTTGTCGTCGTCGTCGTCGTCGTTGTGGTTGTTGTTGTTGTTGTCTTTGTTCTTGAGTTTGTTTTTGCTGCTGTTGTTGTTGTTGCTGCTGTTGTTGTTGTTGTTGTCGTCTTTGTTGTTGTCTTTGTTGTTATTGTGTTTGTTGTTGTTGCTGCTGCTGTTGTTGTTGTCTTTGTTGTTGTTGTTGTTGTTGTTGTTGTCGTTGTCTTTGTTGTCTTTGTGTTTGTTGCTGTTGCTGTTGTTGTTGCTGCTGTTGTTGTTGTTGTTGTTGTCGTGTTTGTTGTTGTCTTTGTCGTCTTTGTTGTTGTCTTTGTTGTCTTTGTTGTAGTTGTAGTAGTAGTAGTAGCAGCAGTAGTAGTAGTAGCAGTGTTGTTGTTAAAGAAAACAAAACAATCAGTTACAAAAAAGAAGAGCGGGATACACAGAACGATGCGCAAGTAGCTTTTTGTCAAAAGCCCAAGAACCTTCAACTGGTGTTTTTTGGGTTTCAGTTCGAGGACTGACATTTCTTGTGGTATTGTTCAGCTATTTGCATCTTGAAATGTTCAAATAACAAAATGAAACTCCTGGTGATGCTCGAATGATATTTTCCATTGTTGGGGGAATTGTTTGGCTGGATGAGTTCTTCATTGAGCATGGTGCTTTGACTTTGGTTTTTCTATGGTTTATCAGTGAGGTTTAGTTGGTTGAAGTATTGTCAGTGTTCATAGTCCACGTGAGTCTTTGAGATGACTTTTGGAAAGATATGTATATATATATATGTATATATATATATATTTACATGGAGCACATTTGTTGTTGTTCAGCCTTTATTTTCTCGCTTATATAACACTTGACTGATAATTTTCTATGCCAATTTGCAGGGATTTACAGAGCGTGTCAAGGTTTCCAAATAAATCGAACAGGGCGAACACCTCTCAAGAATCGTCTTTTATGGGGCTAACTGGTCGCGTGTGTGTAGTATGCTACAACAAAGATGTCACATTATTTGGCATCGATAGTACTGTATCCCCTAAAACCATTTTTTGTTTCGGAACGCATCGTTGATCTAAAGTGACCGTGCAACCTTTTCTTTCTGGTGACTCCCCAGTTTTGTGTTGTTCAGGTGAAGAAGATTTTGCCCTTCGAGGGCACCTTCAGTGTTCCGGGCGATGATGCGACTGACGTGGCAGTGTCGCCGACAATTGCGCCAGGATCCTCAGGTGTGGCTCTGGCAATGCACGCTGGATTCTGCAGGTTGCAGAGTCTGGTCATCAGAGCAGCTTACCGCGGCAGGGCTAGCGTTCATGTTGGGCTGGCTCACTGGTGGCACAGTTGGAGGGTGGGCTTGCTGGGGCGAAGCTTGTGTTTGCAGCAGCTTCGTTGCCTAAGCTGATGGTTTGTGGGAGAAATATCTTCCAAGTAGTTTTGCTTTATTGGGTGTGTCACAGGATAGACTGCCAACTAACAGCCTGCACTACTACAAGGCCCAGTTACAGCAAGACGAGCGTCAGAGGATGATCCTTTCCCAAGGAGGTCCCCGTGATCTTCACCTGGTGTTCTTTGGACTATCATGGCCAAACGAATCCAGTAACACACACAGAAATCGCTCCACCTTAAGGCCTGAGGTGGAGGTTTTTTGGTGTGTTCCCCTCATCAGCGCTGCTTTGAGGCAATCCTTCGCCACGGTTTTCCACCATCTAATTCGAAACCAAAAATCATCAAAAAAACGGGGGGGGGGGGGTGCAGCCAGCCAAAATGCCTAACGTTGCCTGGCACGTCGCCTTCGGGAGTCCATAAAACTAGTTGTAGCCTTGTGTTGTGTTTTTGGGCTTGTTCTAGGTTCTAAAATATTTGAAAAATAGCAATAAAAAAGCAAAAACAACCCAAAGCAAAAATGCAAAGAAGACACGCACTGCCTAACAAAATGCAAAAAA